CTCTTCAATGGCAGCTAATCCCACCTCTGGTGTTTTGGAGGTCTGTTTTTTCTCTGTTCCTATTTTTAAAAAAAAAAAATTAAGGATTTTTTATCTTGAATACTGTTCGTTATTTCCATATGTTCCAATGATTGATTAAATACTATTTGATGTCCCGTTCAAAATTTTATCATTTATTTAAAGACCTCACCATGTGACTGAGAAGGGCTCCAAATTAGATATTTAATTTGAAACAAGGGTCATAAAGTAGTGAGGACTCTGTCATGCCAAAGCCTACCTCGCTTTAAAGATCTTTTCCAAATGACACAATGTCTTCCCTTTTTAATGGCTAGCTTTACTGGAGGAAAAGTTGCAACCTATTTTGTAATGACGTAGGTCATTTGCGGATCCGAATCGAAATGAAACAATTGGAGATAACGAACAGGAATCAAGATCAAAGTCCATAAAACAAATACAAAATAAGAGCAGAGCATACACCAACAAGAAATCATCGGAGGTGGGAACAGGAGCAATGTAGAAGTGAGTTTCCCCTGTCGACCTCTCACTCCCAACGTGTGCTCCTTGTAATGAACTTCCAACCAGGGAGCAAGCGTTCTGCGATCTAGCTTTCATTGCCGTTGATATGCAGACAAATATTTTAAACTACGTTTTTGCCTAAGCCTTACACATCGATTTATCTAGGGTAAAATCTGTTATTCCCTGATAACAATGAGAACATAGCGAATACAAATGGTATGCAGAAGTGAAACATATGGTAATAAAGACAGTATTGAATCTCCTAAGTCAATTAAACAATATAAAATAGCAGTAAAGGAAACATGGACCTCCGGAATATCAGAAGTAAGATCAGGTGCCATGAGAAAGACCAGCTGACTGATCACTCCTGGAAAGCACCTAATCCCATTTCTCATGTTCAGAAGTCCGATTTTGCTCTGTTACTGATTTCCATTGTTTCAATTGAGTTTTGAACATACACGTGTAACTGATAAATCTACGTAACCCTTCAATTATATTTATTTAAAATGTGTTATTGAATACATTATACTGTTCAAGTTTATTATCATTCCCTTTTATTCCAGGCATCGTGAATCTTGTGACCCCCTGTTTATATTATCATTATTTCAGAGTGTCCTTTTGGTACTTATGGAGTAAACTGCACAGAAACATGCATGAATGGTTACTATGGGAGATTCTGCAAGTCAGAGTGTAACTGTCATTCAGAGAGATGTGATACAAGATATGGCTGTTCAAAAACTAATACTGGTAATTATATTCAAAAGTGCCCAATCATGATATTGAGTGCAAGGGGGGTTTGATAGAGTATGCTTGCTCCTACTCGGTCCTTGGTTCCATTCCTGATGATTTAAGAGTTCCTTGTTTGATGAGTATAATTTTCACCGAAAGCCCGAAAGGTGATGTTATTTTTACTTTGGCATTTTACTAAATCTCTGTATTTTGAAGAAAAAACTGAATATTTTCTTTTAATATAATTTAATGATCCCAACTCTGAAAGGTAGGTTAACCCTTTCAATATATTTATTGTTTATATTTGAGTCCTAATCAATGAAAGAATATCAATTGCATATACATTATTTTGTACTTTCTTCATCTATATTTGTCGAAATAAAAAAAATCTATTGTTATGAGGCACGTTTTAACGTAATATTTCCATTTCCAATTGTTTTCTCTATGATAAACACTACAAAAGTGTTTCTTGTTTATTTCATGATAATACCCTGTGGTATGTATATTTCTCTATTACTGAAAGGTCAGGTGTCAACCTGCATGTATATCACTGGCGTATAAATATAATCAAGAAAAAAAAAGATGTTTTAATTGTTTACTAAGTAATTTGATATGATATATATATTTTTTAACAAACAAAATTAATATTGAATTATCTTTGGCTCGAGAGCAAGTCACTTGTGCAACGCTGTCCACTATGACCGAGGCCTCGCGACTCCGAGAACACCACTTCCGTAACAGCCACGTGGAGAAATTGACATTGCCACATGGATCTGCACGTACTCCATCATCTGATACAGACTTCGTCCCTTAGTCATTACCATCCGACTTCTTAAACAACTCAACTTCTGTTATTATAACATCCATACAAATCGGTTTCCTAACCATGCTGACCAGCTACCGTTTCAGCAACATTGCATTCAATATGGAGGCGGAGAAGTGACAGTGCCTATTTATGTTCGTGCTTCCGAGAACCTAAATCTGGGTTACATATATGATTAAAGTCAACAAGATTACTTTGATCATCATTTAAAATTCTTTCGTTGTTTATTTTATAAATGTTGATATTTGACTACGGTAATTATAAATAGTCAATGAATTTGTTTCGTTTTTGGGACTATTTTTTAAGGTAAAATTTGACGTCATGGTGCCTTGTGCATTTCAAATCTACTCAATTAGACGGTTTTTCGATTTATTTTATGATGGTTATTTCAAGTAAAAATGGAAATATAAGGAATCACTGTCTAGTTTTGAGGCTATGCCAGGGACATCAACAATAGTGGGAAACATGGGATAATTTTTGCATAACGGGCTTCGCCCGTTATGCAAATTATCCCATGTTTCCCACTATTGTTGATGCCCTGGCATACCCTCAAAACTAGACAGTGATTCCTTAAATATGTTTGTATTGTCTCTCATGTATATGTTTTTTAACACAAAGACAATTCTGGAACATTCAAGAGTGGTCAACATGATAGGCATTTTTCAAATGAACATTCCTGAATTTCGAGTACATACTTATGTATGTGCTTTTGTAATATCTTGTACTTACAATCTAAAATCTAGAATTTTCTATTTTATGTAAGGGTATCAATACTGTGAAAATTGATACCATCAATACACTGAAAATTGTATTTAAAATTTCAAAGAACTTTTGGACAATCTAAAATCATTTAAAAAGATTTAACCAAAATCAACAGCTTTAAAACTTAAGACTTTTAACTTGACACACGACCATTTCCCTCAATAAATTAAATTCCTGGCTTTTTAATACAATTGACAGCTGCAATGTCAATAAAAATGGAACTCGTAAATTTACTTATCTTGTCATTGGTCATTTACAAAATTATTTTGCCATTCCACATTTTAATTGCACACACAAGTTCTTTCACGCTGACATCAAAAAGTGCTTGAGTTTCTGATTGACAATAACTATGTTTTTTGGAGACAAGTTTTTCCGTCATTTCGTAAATTCTATGGTCGATACAATGACATTGTCAGCAAATACAATTTATCATTGAATGAAATGCTGACTGATGTTTTTCATACTAATCGTTAGTCCATTATTTATACACTGAATTGACCACGGATTTTGTTCTGTTATTTCCTGATTATGACAACGAGCACACGGCGGGTGTGACCGGTCGGCAGGGGATGCTCACTCCTCCATGGCACCTGATCCCACCTCTGATGTTTCGGAGGTCTGTGTTTGCTCTGCTCTTATTTTGTATATTTGTTTAATGGACGTTGAGATTGAATACTGTTCGTTATTTTCATATCCAACAATCTATTGGAAATCCCACTGGTACCGATTGCGCTCCGTTACTAGCATTCATATTTTTGTATTCATATGAAGTATAATTTGTTCAAAATCTTATGCATGAAAAGAAGAAAACACTTCCTGTGGCCTTCAACTCAACATCTAGATATATCGTCGACGTGTTGTGAATTAACAATGGTTATTTTCATTCCTATGTAGGTAGGATATATCCAGGTGAGCATGAGAAAAAAAATACCACAGAGTCTGACACATCTGTTTCATACTTGGATATTTTACTTGAAAAATATTGTAATCTAACGGCTAAGCTAAATGATAATCGTGATGACTAGATAAATACGTATTGTCAATTAACAATGGTTATTTTCATTCCTTTTTATATAGGATATATCCTTGTGAGCTTGAGATAAAAAATACCATAGAGTCTGACACATCAAAGGGCGTTAATTGTATTCTGACAACTATGCTTATTGATAAACGTGATGACTTTAACATTTCTATCGTCAACTTCCCTTACCTCTGCAGCAATATACCTTCATTCCCTGAATATGGTTAAAATATATCACAGTTGCGCAAGAGAATGCTCTACGTATGAAAAAATCTCTTAAACGAGGTAAATCATTGACAAAAAAGTAAATGATACAAAGCTGTCAGCAGTCTCGTTAAAAGCCACCATTTCGCAATATCTTTGATCGATACAATGTCCTTGTTAGCATATATCATTTATCATTGGGTAAAGTGCTCTCTGAAAAACGGTGAGTGTGACCAGTCAGCAGGAGATGCTTACTTCGCCATGGCACCTGATCCCACCTCTGATTTTTCGAAGGTCCATGTTTGCTCTGATCCTATTTTGTATTGTTTTAAAGACTTTGATATTGAATACCGTTCGTTTTTCTCAATATCCTTGATACATTGGTAAGACTGCTGTACAGCACTAGCTGGTGTATAGATAACATTGAGACTCGTATAGGATACTCACTGAGACGTATGTTGTGACTGACACTCTGATGTATATATGTAAGAATACTTGCTGATATGTGTTACGTGTAGTCTGTGCTTTTGAATTTTTACACTTTATTGTAAAAGAATTGTTGTTAGGTTTAAACTGTGTGATTGAATTGTTGCTGGGACTTTGAGGTTATTCCGATCCCATGACACTATCATATTTATTTAAAGACTATATGCATGTGAATCTTAGATTTATTATTAGTGTAGTGTGGAAAAAAAAGGAATGTTTTATTCACATGATGACATGCATGCACTTGAAAATTCATATTGAATAATATCAGTCTTGAAAATCCTTTTTAGAATAATGTATAAGCAAAGATACAGATATGTGCACGTAATCTCAAATTCATTTTATTTTGCATCATATGGAAAAGAAAACTTTCAATTTTTTTTTTACAACATTTCCATTAAATCGATATAGAACATATAAACTGACTCTTACAAACCATTTATTTTTTTCTTTCAGCAGGTACAGAAAGCAATAGTAAGTAGATTAACGTGACGTATGCCCTGATTGGATCTGTCACCACCATGAGTCTGATTGGTCTGATGTTTTATCTTAGATCCTGGTAAAAATATATTTAGACTGTTTTCTCCTTCAATTAAAAAGTAAAGCACTTTTTGATTCAAATGCTTATTTCAATTTCAAATGTACAATGTAATTGACTTTGATGATACATGTATGAGGCAACAGAGTATCTTTTCTGTAGGTTCTCAAAAATGAAAGCGTCATCGTCTTCTGTTTCAAATCAGGTGTATACAGATCAGGCAGGTATGAACATGAATAATTGAGTGTTATTCCAAAGGCGATTTATCTTTTTTAAATACGTATTGTGATAATATCCATAATCAAAAAAAAAATGTTAACTTTAAATCCTTTAATTAAATTTGATAAAACTTATCGATCTTATTACTTAAAAATTGATATAGCAGGCTAATTTAATGCATGTTATTTGGTATGTTTTTGAAAGAAAAAAAATTGATGCATATGGATAACATTATAACAGACCTATGATAGTTACAAAACATAATATCTGTAAAGTAGAAAACCAGGAGGACCATAGATACGAAAGTCAAAGAAGCTCGTCCTCCACTGCGACTGAAACTGTTCAGCAGAGGACACCAAATCATCAAGACCTGAACAGCTATACAGTTCTGAGGTTCTCCCAGATGCAGCCTATGTATGACAACTCAAAAGACGATGAGAATGCCCAGGAACCTGAAGCACCATCTCTTCCATCTACAAGAATGATAAATGGCCACAACAATGAAGTAAATGACAACAATGACGGAGAAGGCATACGAACGATATTTCGAACACGAAGGATACAAGGTCTTGTCTCTATGTAAACCATCTATTGAGAAATCAATGACGCTGAGATCTGTTGATGCTTCATTCAAACTTGAGGACAATGCAGAGGGTATGCATGATGAATACGACTCGATGGAAATGAAAGAGAAACAGAAAGAAAAATGCGCGTCTGAGTTAGGGATAAAGCAAAGTGAATTATCATAAAAAGTACTTTGCAAAAAAGTTCAATAAATGAAACAATTAAAGATTATTTAGAAAGTGCCCAACTGAATCGAAAACTTGGGATGATAAAAGATAATGAGACAAGCGCTTTAAATTCGATATCAAAAAGTGAAAGTTTTACCGCCTGAGAGTCGAATCGCCCAAAGCGTTTTTCTTCACGTCCTTATAGTTTGGCAAATAGCAGTTGGCGTAAACGACACATCACTGAGTTGTCGAAACTTAGCAGAATATCAGATTACGAAGAATTGTTTTCACTGGAAGATGAAGAATGTGATGGAGGTAAACCTAAATGCTCAGACAGTAATATTCAAAGTAACAATGAGAGTTCCGATAACCAATCGATGGTGACTGTATCTATCGAAAATGAGCAAAAGAAACAGCTAATTACACCTGAAGTCAAAGAAGATGAGTTTGAGAAACCACACGAAGAAATAGATTTATTGGAAAATGAGTCGCATATCAATACAAAAGAAAAGGACGGAAGTTTTGAACCTGATTCGTCAGATGCATACAGTCAGGTTCAGAAACGACCACTGCTTCAGTTTAATGACTCTAGCACGCTGTCCGTGGAACTGCTGAATGAGGGAGGAAAATTAAACACTAAGATGTAGCTCAAAGTCATTAAAAAGAAAACGAAGCACTAAGATGTAGCAAAATTTCAATTCAAAAGATGGCTGTATTTTTCAAATAACATACATTATAAAAGAGAACGATATTTAAAGTAATAAACTGTCATAAATACTTGTATCTGAAAATTTTGAAAACAAACACAAATCATAGTGTCTCAGCTGTCCATTCATAGTCAATTGTTTTTAACACATGTTTCGTGCAATTTTCATAAAGCTATTCAAGGGGACTCTAGATCTATCATTTCAACAAATAACTTTTTCGTATTTTAGTATAGTATAAGTATTTAGATCGTGGTGTTCGTATGTACCTTCCCTATCAAAAAAAATACTATAGTAAACTATAGTTAACTATAGTTTACTATAGTTAACTATAGTACCAAAGTTATAAATATGGAACTTTGATTTACTATGGTGAAAACTTTGGAACTTTGATTCACTATGGTGAAAACTTTGGAACTTTGATTTACTATGGTGAAAACTATGGAACTTTGATTACTTTGGTGAAAACTTTGGAACTTTGATTTACTATGGCAAAATATTTGGAACTTTGATTTACTTTGGTGAAAATTTTGGAACTTTGATTTACTATGGTGAAAACTTTGGAACTTTGATTTACTATGGTGAAAACTTTGGAACTTTGATTAACTATAGTAAAAACTTTGGAACTTTGATTAAGCACTATAAACCCTTAAGATTATGGTTTTGCTTCCCATTCTGTACATTATATAAAATTCATGTTGAAGATTCATTAATACTTCAGATTTTTTTCAAAAAACCCAAATCTTCTCCCGAAAAGAACAAAGTACAAGAAATTGTTTTAATGTAAAAAAAAAGTCTCTTTCACCGATAAATAATCAGTATTTATTTAAATATATTTAATCTTAATTATAAATAATTATTAATAATTAAAATATTTAAGTTGTCAAAGTTATTACAAAAAATATTGGAAGTTTGATTTACTATAGTAAAAACTTTTGAACTTTGAAAAACTATAGTAAAAACTTTGGAACTTTGAAAAACTATGGTATAAATTTGGAACTTTGATTTACTATGCCAACAACTTTCGAACTTTGATTTACTTTGGGGAAAACTTTGGAACTTTGATAAGCTATGGCGAAAACTTTGGAACTTTGATTTACTATGGTGAAAACTTTGGAACTTTGATTTACTATGGTGAAAACTTTGGAACTTTGATTTACTTTGGTGAAAACTTTGGAACTTTGATTTACTATGGTGAAAACTTTGGAACTTTGATTTACTATGGTGAAAACTTTGGAACTTTGATTTACTATGGTGAAAACTTTGGAACTTTGATTTACTATGGTGAAAACTTTGGAACTTTGATTTACTATGGTGAAAACTTTGGAACTTTGATTTACTATGGTGAAAACTTTGGAACTTTGATTTACTATGGTAAAAACTTTGGAACTTTGATTTACTATGGTGAAAACTTTGGAACTTTGATTTACTATAGTAAACTATAGTAAACTGTAGTTAACTATAGTTTACTATAGTATTTTTTCGTTAGGGTTGTGCCCTTTGAAGTATTTGGAAAATAAACACAATATACTAGTATTTCAATAGTGCTGAAGTATTTCCATGTACACATAGAGGTAAATAATTAATGTTACCGATTGTACAGGGTGCTAATTAAGTATTTACAGGAAAAATCAAACTGCGTACCTGCACTCGTTCCAGGATATGAAATAATGATTATTGGTGTAAGGAATCTAATTAACTGAAAAAATGAAATTATTTAAAAAAATCTACGGATTATTCCGGATATAGTAGAATAAAGTTTAAAACTGCACTTTCATGTGAAATATCTCAAATTAAAAAAAATAAAGCAAAGGAAATCGAAAAGATCAAATGTCTGTGTCCGTACACTGTTTAGGTCCTGCATGAAAATAAATACTAAGGCCTGATTCAAAACACTTAAGTTTTATTCTTTATCACTTACTCGTTATAAGTTTATCACAAATGAAAAGGGGTTCAAAATGAAAAACAGATCTGCAACGTATAGATTGATTGATTGTATATTGTTTAACACCCCTCTCGAGAATTTTTCACTCGTATTGAGCATCACCATATGCCGGTGAAGGACTTCAAATTTTGATCTTTACTCGGCACTCAGGGTCTTTGAACAGTGATGGATCTTTACCGTGCCAACGCCTGCCCCTGACACGGGGCATCCTTTTTAAGGTCTCATCCGAAGGACCCGCAACTTTCATTTCAAATTGCCGAGCGCATGGCAGAGGAACAGCTGCTACCCATTTTTTTTATCGACTTAGGCCAGTCGCTGCCGAGATTCGAACTCACGATATCTCGATCAAGAAGTGAGCGCTCTACCAACTGAGCTACCGTGAACGGTACTTTGATATGATCAAACATTAAAGTATATATGCATGTACAGGTTTGAAATAATAATAATTTGAAAACGCTATATTTCTACAGGCTTTTCGTCTGTTTTCTCTAATGGAGTTGCACAGTGGAACTCATGCCCAGTTCTTAGCCATGTCTTCTATTTTTATTACTGTTATTCACATATACATAGATGAACCGTTTTAGTCATTTTAATACTAAGGACGAGAAATAGTTTCTTAATCTACTGAACATTTTGACTGGTACATTTCTTTAAGAGTGAGTTCAGGATCAATTCACTTGATCATATTCCGGAACGCCGTCTGTGCCAACGCAGCCGCCATTTTTCAACAAGTCGGGTTCCAACCCGATGTATATAAAACGTTATAAAATATATTTATCAAAGCATGAACACCAAAATTTTAGGAAATATAGATAGTAAAACAGTATTAAGAATTTTTATTTCCATTCAAAAAATACAGGACAGTAATGATTTTTTAAAAGGATTTTAGATATGATATACCAATTTTTTATTGCAACCTTTGGGTATTGCACCGCCTTCCTACACCCGACAATAAAATGTGTCTTTTAAATTAAAATAATTTGTGTAGTTACTCCATGTTTGTCAATAAATTTATCATATAGTGTTGGTTTAATCTATATACGAAATTACATTAATGTATGACGTTGGTTTCCTACAAAACAACGCTTGTCTACAGAATTTAGGGACAACCCTCGCATTACATCAAATAATCTTTTGTCTTGTCTGCTTGTTGACACTCGTTTGATTAAGATGATTCGGAAAGTTTTTCATTTTGGTCAGATACGTATGTGCAAGTAAAACATTTAATTTCAAAATCAGATATTATATTTATTTTATATTTATAAGATTTACACTCGATCCAGCTGCTAGCAGCATAACTTAGGTCGAGAAGAGAAAGGCCTGGATAGAAAAGATTGTTGAACGAGTTCTTCATTCAATTTTTTGTCTTTTCATTGACGCCGCTGTTTTATGATTATCTTTTTAAAGACCTCTTTTCAACACTATCGAAACATTTACTCCTAATATCACTTACAGTATTAAACATTCCCATTAAAGTTCTACAAATGTACCTTTTTTGATATTTTATTTATTTTCCAAATGACATTTAAAGACGAGAAACTATTACTGTATAAGTAGAATTTTGAGCGAGGATTTCATTTTGGCATTATTAGCGAGGGTACCGAGATTGCTAAAATTGAATAATGCTAAAAATTAATTGCATTTAATTTGTAATAGCTTCTTTAATGTGGAAATTTTAAAACAGCTAAATTGATTTCTCGATTAAAATAAATTACCAGTTTTTAAGAACAAATCGCTAAATTTGCGTCTCGCTAAAATTTCCACTTATACGGTAATTTATGTTTTGAAAATTTCTCTTATGTTCATCATCATCATCATCTTCAACATCACTTCCACCATCATCATCGTCATCAATGCCTTTCACTTCTTTATATTTTCGATCTTTACATCCTTGGGTTGGAATGGAGTCGACAGATGGCGCTGTTGGTTCTATTCCACCTCCACAGTCAGGAGAGCTGTCATACAGAGACTGCATTCTGGAAAATTTCAAATCCGTATAAGTATTTACTTCTGGTTGTTCACGTGTGCTCGATACAACATTTCCGGCTCCACCTGATGAAGAGCTTCCTTGAGATTCCAATCCATCCCTCTGAGTTTCTTAAAAAAGAAAGTAAGCATTTACGTTCTGTTCTATGATTTGTTTTTAATTACACTAAACCGGAATCTGATTTTTTTTTAAAATTAATTGAGCAAATCTGATTATTTAGCCTGCATTTTTCCTTTAGAAATGTATTCATTGAGCAACATTTTTTCTTCGATAATCCTTATATTGATTTGAAAAAATCTTTAATTAACGTATTTATTTGTTATGATTACAGAAAATACAATATTTTTACCAGTTTGTTATGTAGTGAGCCAAGACGGAGCAAAACAAACACGTGGCCTTGAAAACCTACCGGAAAAATTTCATATTAACCACTCAAAAATAAATAATTGTAATGGTTAAAAA